TTTTGGAAAAATACTTTGTATTACAAATCTTTATATTATTTGGCTTTCTATTAATGCAATACAATGATTCACAGCCATCTACAGTCTCCCAGGCTTACATTATAGGCAGTTTAGCGTTTAGTGAGTCATTTAAATTAGATAATTAATTAGATATTGGGTTAACGATTTAGATAACTATTAGATAAGTATCGCTTTTTATTTCTCCTCTTTCCTATTACTTGTTTCACGTCTGTTTCAGTTTTTATAACCATTTCTTACTATGTGTCAGTAAGTTGTTGTTATTTTAGCATGTGTGTTTGGCTCAGTGTTATTTTTTTAGGATTACTGATAAACTAATGTAGTTCGATTTGTATTAGTTATTTTAGTTTTAGTTACAGTTGTATAACGTTTTAGCTTTTAGTTTTGGATCTGTTTTTAGTTGTTTTAATACTACAATTGATTGCTTCTGTTGTCCTTATTTGTAAGTCGCTTTGGATAAAAGCGTCTGATAAATGACTAAATAAAAAAAATTCACACCAAAACAAAAGATAACATTTATGCTTTCATGTCTGAAAAAATTATTTTTGTCTTACATTTCATAATAAATTCAGACAAGCTCAGTATTGACTCATTTTTCATCAGTTTATTTTCATGTAATGGAATGTGTACAACGGATTGTGGGTGATTAAAGGATACATCTTTTGATTTAATTGAGGATTGCATTGCAGTGAGAATGACCTCAGAGGACTTAACAGTATTAATAGTACTGTGATATTGTAATGATTGTTGTGTTGCTAGCCTAGGCCAGTTGTTTTGTACACCGTAATGGTGTAATAATTTTGAAACTTCTGTGTACATTAGTTTTACTTGACATGTGTGGACAAGATGTAGCACTTAATTTATATATTAATAATATATATCGTGATGTTTACATGGTTCTAAGTTATCTGAAGACAAACCTCTTTTTCTTGACCAGCATTCTCTAGCTATGACTGTATAAGAAGCACAACATCACTCTCAACATCCATTCAAACGACAGAGAAATTCCTGAGCTCTGCAACAGTTTCTCATCTTACATGGAGTCAGAATAAAACAATGTAAGTTGATCAGACATGAACAGAAAGCTATTGTTCAGCATGTTAAAATGAATCAATTCAAAACAAGACGGCAACAACAACTTTCTTGAGAACATACTTAATAAAAATAAATGATTTCTAATGATTTATTTACAGAATTCTAAAGATTAATTCACCCAAAATCATTTCATTCCAAACCTGTATGACTGACTTGCTTCTGTAGAACATAAGTATTAATAGTAGAAATTTTTATTAATACTCTTTTCGATGCAATTGTGAATAGGAGCTCACAGTCGTTCAATACAATTGTTCGCAGACTGAAAACGTATGTTTTGTTCTGTAGGTCATGGTCTGGTTTACCACTGTGGTATGAGTGTCTTCGTTGGATTCTCTCCTCAGTTATGATTACCATCTTATGTGTAGTGCACGCATGCTCAAAATGTACATCAAGAAGGCTTAGGGCTCAAGGCAAACACCCCAAAGACATCTGATTGTCAAACATGGTTGCAGCTTCATTACAAGTTTTCTTTATTTATGGTGTGCATGTACACATTTTGCATTCTTTTTAATTCACATTGACTTAAAAATGATATTCCTTGTTCTTATTATCCACAAGGTGTACAATTAATTCAGCTCCAAACTGCATGATTCATTCAAATTTCGTTTTGTAGACATTTTAGCTTTAGGTGTGTTTTTTTTTTTCTGAAAATGTAACAAATAAATATAAATGTATATAGACAGGCAGTCCTCACATTACTCACATTACAAGCGGATATCAACATTAATGCAATTAACATTTTCAAGCATTGCTGGAGTCAACTTGTATCCTGTGTTGCCCATCGACACAATTCAATGGGAATGAAACCATGCAAGAGTGAAACTGAAAGTGACCCCTGTTATCTTTTCTGCCCTTCCTGAAAGGAAAATATCACACACAAGGAGCTATTGTTGAAGTTGTTTTGTGACCTTGTTGCATGGAAAGTGATCAAGGAAAAAAAAGACTAAATTAAATCAGTAAAGATTGATTTTTCTCTTGAAAGTTTTATTGTAAAAAAATAAATAAATAAAAAAGGCAACCAAACACAATTAACTATATTTCTGAAAAACTTTTTTTTTCTTTTAATGCAGGAATTCCCAAACTTTGTCAGCTGAACCCCTTTGATCTAAAATATTCATGAAGTACCCGCTGAGATTTTAATTTATATATCAATCATTTCAAACATTCACGGTTTTCTGGTGTCACATGACACACAGGGAAATAACATGTTTTATTTTTTGTTTTTAAAATGTTTTAAAATTATTTACTTATTTTAATTGTACATTTTTAGTATTTAAAGAGTAATAGGCAGTCAAAGGCACCTACAGATTTCTTAGCATTTAGCATTGCAAAGATCTACAATCTGTTGTTCTTTCGTCTTTATTTTTCAATATATGGCCTTGAAATGTTATGGGCTATTCACTATTTTCTTCTTAACACTAGAGATGCAATGAGATACACATACGTCAAGACACAAATCTCAAATTTCACAATGATGATCAACATGATTAATATATCTGTACCATTATATGTAACGTGTATGTAACAGATCTGAACCATTATAGCTTATTAACAGTAATGACAACAGCAGCAAAACAAAAAAGCATTGATTATTTTTTAAATAATAATAGCCAAATATTTTTTTTTCAAGCTGCAATACTGATTAAATAAAATAATTAAGTTACTACTACTACAAAAAAATAACAATAATAGCCCTGTTCAAGCTATGTTTCTATATTTAAGCTTTTTTGCAAGTTGTTGGATCAGGTTACCAGGATTTATACTTGTGCACACCCATCCTGTTTTCCCCAGTCTTCATCTTTTCCTGAGTATTGTTGAGGACACACAAATTCTTAAGGACTCAGCTTCAGTGTGCGTGAGTAAAGTTACATGTTTTTTAACTTTTAATCTGCTTTTTTAAACACTGTTAATCTTAGCATTACGTTTTAGAGATTGTGTATTTCTGCTAAAAACACCTCTGGGTAAAGAATCAAGGAAGTTGCTCTTAAATATGAAATATTTACTGCATAAAAACAAATTTAAAAAATGTGGTATTCCTTTCTTGTTGGGTATTTAATTAAAAAGATTTACCTTTAATTCAAAAAGAACGCTTTGAAGAGATAAGCCTATTATGTGCCCTTTTAAAGTTTGTAGTTTCTTTTAAAGGTTTAAAGAAGAGAGAAATATGACCAAACTCATGTTCATTTAAATGAAATGGCTTCAGTGTTCTTCTAATCCGTTTTATTCTGCATGAACTTGTGGGCGTCAACAACATGCGACTCATCCTGAATGCAAGAATATCCCTTATAATTTGCTGTTCCACTGCTGTTTTTTAAATTCCAGAAAACAAATTATTTAGAAATTATATTGGGCTAGTTCACCAATGTTCAGAGACTATGGCATTTATGTTGCTGAATCTCTGTGCTCCTGCCCTCTTCCTGTGTCTTCTGAAAGCTGGAAGTATCAGAGGTGAGTTTGATACTTATTAGTCATTCAGATAGCTACAAGGAATAGCATTTATAATATGGTACCAGTCTATTATACCATGAAAAAACATCTAAAATTGTCTGTCTGTAATTTGAAGGAACAAAAAAGGTTATTTTTTAAAAATTGTATGACCAATTTTGTGAGAAAATGTTTAAAACCCGAAAGGATTTGCGTTAAACATTTGGCATGCAGCAAATGACTCGTCGATATAGTGTACTTTTTGTCATTGATCTGAATGGCAAAAAGTTGCCCAATGACTGGGTTATTGGAATACTAGTGTGATTTGTTCTTCTCCTCAGCCCAATGCACACAGCCAGAGGCGGACTTACCCATTAGGCAAAGGTAGGCGACCACCTTGGTCCCCCAAAAGCCAAGGACCCCCTAAATGCTTTTCATAGAGGAGATGCGTATTAAGCACGGACACACCAACATTGTGGTGTTCATTGTCGCGACAACTGTCTGCGTGTCCGCGTCCTGCTTGTGTATCCTTGTAGCAAATGAAATATAATGCATCTGAAGCTGTAATTAAATATTGAGCAACAATGCGTATTGTATGTTTATTGTTTTAAATGCCACTTGCTTACATGTTTTTTTTTCAGTTTCATTTAAATTTGTAGTTAGGTAAAATAAATGCATTTTAAAGTTTAGTTTTAATGCTGTTATAACTTGTTTAAACGTTAATACTGTAACCGCACTGGGTGGGGTAAATATTTTGACGTACATGACGTAAATGTAGAAACATTGGACACAACTATGGGGTACTGTTGTGCAGCAGTAAGCATCACAACAGAGAAAAGAACCTCATGGTTAAACCAGGTTAATGTGTGCAAATGTATAGGACCCCATTCCTATATTTTGCCTGGGGCCCCCAAATCACTAAATCCACCCTGGTCATACAGACTTCTTTTGCATCAAGAAATGTCATTTTAACAGCACACCATCTCCTAGTTTCCCAGATGGATCCACTGTAACATTTGAGTGTGTGATTGGACACAAGCCAGTTGACTTAAAAGCATTTAAATCAGTTACCTGTCAGGGAAACCAGTGGACAAATCTGGAACTCAATTGTGCAAGTATGTACTGGCGTTAAATATGTTAAGAACCCTACATTTGTAAATTCCTCTAAAATGCCATTTGTCTAATTTAGATATGTGAAAGGATGTATGTTATAGGTCAACAAGTCATTAAATAGCGTAATCATTAAATAGCTCATAGTGGTTTTGCCACTGACAGCAGGAAGCATCACAGTATCACACATTTCCTCTTAAAATAAATCCCTGTATCATGTAAAGAAGCAACGCTAAAGATTATTTTTCATTATTTTCTACAGTGTTTAAAGAGCACCAATTCTAAATCAGTCAATATCTTGAGTACATTACAGGACAATCCTGTGGAAGCCTTGCAGATTTTCTTTATGGGAGATATGAAATGACTGGAAATTTATTTGGTGACACAGCTAAACCAGTTTGTGACAAAGGGTAAGTGAAAGTCACTTTCTTTGTGGTGGATTAAGAGTGTTTTAATTAAACCATGTGGAATTTAGGTTTTGAGCTGTGTTTGATTATTTGGTAAGAGGAGAATCATTGCTTTCAGATACATGTTAGCTGAACAGGAAACAACAAGAACATGCCAAGATCTGGGATGGGATGGCAAAGATCCTGTCTGTGAACGTATGTTAGTTCTTACATTTGAATGAAATGTGATATTGAAGAGCACAAAGCCATTACCAATTTGTATTAAAATATTTTTTTTTGTGTTCTGGAAATAAATACCTATTCACCTGGATATGTTTTTCTCTTTAGCTGTGAAATGTTCATCACCTCCAGTCATAGAAAATGGGCAACTTGAAGATGAGCCTTTGGAGAGTTATGATTATTCACAAGCAGTCTCCTATAGATGCAACAAAGGACTTAATCTTATTGGACAATCAACACTTCATTGTTCTGAGGATGGAACCTTTAAACCAGATCCACCAAAATGTTTTGGTAAGTTATGGTTCAAATGCCAGTCAAGAGATGAAAGAAAAAAAATCACTTGGGAGTTTCTTCCTGTTAATTAATAATTTTTTTATGATCAGTATACTGTTCTTTTACATAAACATTTTTTCTTTTCTTTTTTCTCAGATGGGTGTCCAACCAGGAGATTTGGAAAATAGCACACAATCCTTTGGACCACCTTCCTCAATTTTGATTTTATGATGCCTTTTTTATTAGCCTTACTTTCCTTCATTTGCTGTTATTAATAGTACAGTTACAGTTAAAACACCGGTATCAATATCTGCAAGTACAATAAAGAATGTATTATGACCCTTACTCAGCCTCTTAAAAAATGTATACTGGTGTATCCCTAAAATCAAACATAAGGGTAAGTACTGATCAATGCATACAGTGGGTACGGAAAGTATTCAGACCCCCTTCAATTTTTCACTCTTTGTTATATTGCAGCCATTTGCTAAAATCATTTAAGTTAATTTTTTTTCCTCATTAATGTACACACAGCACCCCATATTGACAGAAAAACACAGAATTGTTGACATTTTTGCAGATTTATTAAAAAAGAAAAACTGAAATATCACATGGTCCTAAGTATTCAGACCCTTTGCTGTGACACTCATATATTTAACTCAGGTGCTGTCCATTTCTTCTGATCATCCTTGAGATGGTTCTACACCTTCATTTGAGTCCAGCTGTGTTTGATTATACTGATTGGGGCTGCAATATAACAAAGAGTGAAAAATTGAAGGGGGTCTGAATACTTTCCGTACCCACTGTATATTGACGAGTTTTATCTTTGGATTAATATGCGACGTTTATTAACAGACATACATTGACAAGTTTGTATTTGGATTAATATGACAGATATTGACATGCATATATCAACAAGTTTTTGATGCCTTTTAGCTCAAAAGGATTTTTAAAAAAACAGTTTACATGTCCATGAACTTTCATGTATCACTGAAGAAACCTTAAGAACGTTTCTTATCTCTTTCTCTCTTCAAGCATTTAAGAGTGTGACTCTTTCTGGGGTAACATTTTAGCAATTTAAAAATATAAAAAAATGATTTTTTTACACGGCACCCCTGCTCTTGATAGATGGCACCCTGGTTGGGAAACACTGATCTAGACTTCTTGTACTCACATTTCTAGTTCTCTAACCCAGTGCATATGTTGACTCTCAGCCCTACCTACAACTCCCCCTACTGGCACGATTACCACAACTGCTGTGAATTCCAGAGTTTTGGACAACATCCAAGGCTCCTAAAGAGAATGGTATTGTCTTATGGGTCTATACTTTATTATAAAAAATATTAGATACACATTAATGTTCTCGTAATGGCCCTGCTTTAAAGAGTTAATGACATTAAGATCCAGAAGGAGAGAGCTCAGAAACTTTCTGTATTGATGTTCAGACATTTATTTTAGACAATTACGAGAAAATTATGGACTATAATTTAGGGCTGGGTATTGTGCCACCACACGAATAGATTAAATTAGAATTTCAGGGATGTGATTACAAAAATTGCAACACAATTTTTTTTTAATCTTTTGGAATTTTGGGCTATACGTATGCTCTAAATTCATAGAAGTACTACTATATGTCTGCTCTGATCTGCCAGTAAATAATCTGATATAGTACCCTAGTCTCAAAGGTAGTTGGTTTAATACAATTCATTTGTATTTCACTTTTCACAGCACATTCACTAACCATGCATAGGCATGGTTACTTTTTAAATGTTTCCACAAACAAATCATGATTCACCAGTAACATTCCAGTAACATACTACATTTTATTCACAAAATAAATAAAAAATAGGAACAGCTGAACACATACTTAAATTATTTACAAAGACCAGTGCCTTACAAAAGCTCTATGATGTTAAAGTAGGTGAAGAAGAGACTTGGGAGAAATTCAGCTGGGGAAGTCATCATTTGGCACACATTTGTACAGCATACACACAAATGCACAAATGTTACTTTAAATACATGTAATCCTGTCACATACTGATCAGTGAATGAATCATGCTATATTAAAGTGATTTCCACCACCTCTTCTAAAATTACAAATCAGCTGTTGTAAGTACAACTCTCCATATAATTGCCAATAGTTTACTAACTCCGAAAATAAGTAACACTGTGTAGCATTCTATGATATTGATGCTTGTACTCATGACTTTATACCTTTTTGGCTTTTTTATCTTGGCCGTTATTTTATCAGTTTACATAATGTTAGTGTTGTTAGTTAGTTCTACTGCAAAAAGATTCTTGTTTCACTTTCTAACCACATCTTAATGTTATTAGCTCTTCATAATGGGACTACTGTCTTTTTTCTTAGCATGAGAGAGTAATTAAACCTCCGGTATAATTGGCTAATTTTAAACTGTCTATTGTATATTTATATATATATATATATATATATATATATATATATATATCGGGAAATTTGGAATATAGTGCACAATCAGAATTACCTTTTTTGGTTGAACTATTCCGTTTAAGATCATTTTAATAACTGTGTCTGTGATAAAACTGCAGGTGCTCTTCACTCTGAGTTGAATCTGGATATACATGTTATCACCTTTACACCAAATGTCAGGCACCTTCAATCATAGAAAATGGGCAAACAGAGGCTGTTTTTTTATTAATGTAATACTGTTTTTTTTCTTAATAGACATGCATCATTTTATTGTTCCGAGGATGGGACTTTTAAACAAGATCTGCTTGTGCTTTTGCTACATGCTGAAGTGGTGTTTGGTATCGTGCTTTATTGCATGCCTTGTCAGTTTCATGCACTTTCTTGGCCCTTTGTTGTGTTAAACAGTAAAGCATGTTCAGCTGAATTCAATTACAGTTTATCAAACAGGTATAAAAAAAATAAAGGTTAATATGCCGCGAGGCAGCTCTCGTGTGAAGCAAATCCCTACTAGTACTAATACTCGCAAAACACGCATCACACACTGTTGGCAGCGCAATCCTGTTTGCCTTTGTCTGCTGCAATGGGTGTGTGCCTTTAAGAAAACGTGATTACGTAGTGATTACGTTGTTAGTTCCACATGTTGGGTTCTTTGAATGTGTTCACCATTCTTGATGAGAATAAAGTGACTCTGTAGCTCTGTTAAGACAAGTGTGTTCATTAGAAATCATTACATCCGTTAATTCACAACTTTCTTTTCCTATTGTTTTTTTGGAATTGCCAGTCTGCGGTAAACAAAGCAGATTTCATTACATCTAATACTAGTCTCAACCTCATGGCCCTGACAGAAACCTGGATCAAACCAGAGGACACTGGTACACCTGCAGCCCTCTCCAATAATTTCTCCCCCCCCCCATCTGACTGGAAGAGGTTTAATCCTTTACTATTTCTGGGTATCAACAGCTCCTTTGAATCACATCGAGTTACTATCTCCTACCCTCTTAAAATCCATTTTGTAGTTGTTTAACGACCCCCAGGTCCTCTGGGTAACTTCTTGAAGGAGTTAGATGTGTTGCTCTCAACCTTCCCTGATGGTACTCCTCTGGATATGCTTGGAGATTTCAACGTCCGCCTAGATAAACCTCAGGCTGCAGACTTCCACACTCTGCTTGCTACTTTGGATCTCAAGTGAGTGTTAACTGCGGCTTCTCACAAATCAGGTAACAAACGGGATCTTATTATACATACGCCACTGCTCCACTGATCATGTGATGGTTACCACACTGCACTCCTCGGATCACTTTATCCTCACTCTTAAAGGTGGGGTAAGCGATTTCTGGTAGCCAATGTTGACATTTGAAATCACCAAAACAAACACGCCCCTACCCCAAAAGGGTCTCGCCCCTATTTTGATAGCTCCGCCCCACACATACGTACACAACCCAGGCAACGATTAGTTCTGTGAAACAAAGCAAAACCAATGTTACACCGTGTCTACACCGGACGCGAGTGGCGCGGCGTGACAAAATACTATAGAACTCATAATCAGTGATGCTGTCTACACCATAGATATATATATATATATATATCTATGGTCTACACTGGATGCGGAGTGGCACAACACGACAAATCCCAGACAGAAAACTGCTGCTGAATCGCTGTATCATTCGATCATTTGTTTTTTTATTTAATATTGAAAGTAGAAAAATGAGAAAACGGCTCCTTTTCATTTTTTTACAAAAAACGAAAAACGAGAATTCAGCTTAAAACCAGTTAAACTCTGCGGACCCGGATACGGGTCCAAATGACGTAAAAAATGTTTATGCTTCATTTACATAGCCTTCCTTATATGGTATCAGCCCATATATGGGTTCATTTGAAAGCTTGGAGTGTCTTCTTTACAAAGAATACCATTCCTTTTGGTTTTTATATTTATAAAGCAGTAAAATTAAGCTTAGAAATGTATTCGTCCCACACACGAATTTCCGCCTAACCATTGCGAATAATTTTTACGAAGAATGTGTATTTTATATATTTTTCACAAAAAAGTCAAGTCATATATCACAAG